AACCTCTTCTATAGAAGAGGTTCCACAAATCTACAGAACCGGTTCCAGCTCTCTCTCGCCGCCCGTCCGCGCATCATCAAGATGAAGAGTGAGAGAAGGAATTCTGGGAGTTGAAGTCCACAAGTCTTAAAGCTGTCAAGTTACAAGACCCTTGCATTCCCTAACCCTTTAGAAAAAAAAAAACCCAGGGGGGTTCAAATTTGACAGCTTTAAGACTTGTGGACTTCAACTCCCAGAATTCCTTCTCTCACTCTTCATCTTGATGATGCGCGGACGGGCGGCGAGAGAGAGCTGGAACCGGTTCTGTAGATTTGTGGAACCTCTTCTATAGAAGAGGTTAGAACTGGCAGGAACCCACCCCTACCCTACTCGCACGAGGGTTGTCGTGGGCGCTTATGGCTCCACTTGGATGAGCAGCGGGTGTCCACGCACGCACGCATATGCCTGCCCCTCCCACAAAACCATCCCCTCTTTCCTCCCTCCCTCCACTCCGGGCCGCCAACCCAGAAAGATTGGTGATCTCTGGTCTAAACAATAGTAGTTAGATTCGATCACTTCTACTGGCCAACCATAAAATTATCACCCCCAAATACTTGTTAGAAAATGCTAATGGATTCAACCAACTTACTCTGCATAGGGGTCAGGAATATTAAACCTTTTGCACAAAAGCTTATCCGGGTGCCACTCAAATTTTTCCCTCGTGAGCTTTCCAAACATCTTCATCTTTGCAGCGGCCTCTTTGTCATCAACGTTAGTCTAAAATAACAATGTGGTTCTCGGTTTGTTACAGCAATTATCGCACATACATTTTGGTAATAATCAATTCGAGGATAAAGGATAACTTTTGAGGGTCTTTCTTTTTAATTGGCCTGGTTCACATTTCTGCCAAACTACATTTTAAGCTTGCTTTTATTCTATAAACCACAAGTTGTGTTCACACAACAACTTCAGACTGGTGTGGCCCGCCAGCGGGCAGCAGATTCAGACAGTAAGGTGGTTGGGGAGGAACATGGGCCAGTCCTGGAGTGTGGGGAAGGCTCTGAGGAGGGCTCTGTGTCGGAGGCAGAGAGGGGGCAAGGGCCGTATGCCACTTATCAGCTGCCTTCAGAATCAGACATCAGTGGGGCAGAAGAACAGCTGGAGCCTGTTCCCAGTGTGAGCATGTGCCGGACGAAAGGAACAGCTAAAGAACAGGGGTCGACTTGGAAGTAAGGCCACAGGTGGATGATGAATGGCCCCTCCCATGGGGAATAAAAGAGGAGCGAAAGGGGAGTGGAGTTTGCAGGAGACCATTAGTTCACTT